GGCACCTGCGGCAATTCGGGGGCGGCAGGTCCCTCACTCCCTCTAGGAGTGAAGGACCTGCCGCTGAACTGCCGCCGCCGATCGCGGCTTTTTTTTTTTTTTCCCATTTGCCGCCACCAATCGCGATCTGTCTGACAGTAGCCAATGCCAGGTATAAAGGTTTCAAATGATGGTTTATTGCCCTCACACTTCAATTTCTCCCTTATTTCCAGTTTTATTGCGGTGTGAACAAATAACCTGGGGAAAGCTGGTGGAAGATTTTGTGTCCGGGTGGTTTTTTTTTTCCAGTGTGAAATGCCTTTTTTTGACAGACAGAAACATTTGTGAACAATTTTTTCATTTTGGTCCTTTTTTTGCTTGTTTAAGAAAATTTTGGTTTAGTTTCACTGAGAAGTCTCCTCCCCCCACACACACCTTTTTATTACCTTGATCTTTTTTCCAGCTGGGGAAGGAACTTTTAAAACTGACAGAAAAGTGGGGATTTTCCCACAGAAAGGAAACAGAATTTTTTTTTTTTCCAAAAAATACCTCAAACCCCCAAAAAAGGTTAAAAAGGAAAATGTCAGACAAAATGAAACATTTCCATTTCTTTTGATTTTTTTTTTCCCCTATCAAATAGACTTACCCTCTTCAAACCTTCTGTATAATACTAACTGAACCAGTTGTCTTTAAAAAGAAACGTGCTGGGTTTTCTAAATCTGTTCCCCTTTGGGCAAGTTCAGTTCTTCGGATCTAGATCTGAACTCTGCCGCTCGGGTCTCAAGTTACTGTAAAGCAGTGGTTCTCAACCAGAAGTACGCGTACCCCTGAGGATAGGCAGAGATCTTCCAGGGGGTACATCAAGTCATCTAGATATTTGCCTAGTTTTACATCAGGCTACATAAAAAGCACTAGCGAAGTCAGTACAAACTAAAATTTCATATCGACAATGACTTGTGTCTAGAGCAATATAAACTATACACTGAAATGTAATAACAATATTTATATTCCAATCAATTTATTGTATAATTAGATGGTAAAAATGAGAATGTCAGCAATTTATCTGTAATAGTGGCTGTGACACTTTTGTACTTTTATGTCTGATTTTTTTAAGTGAGGTGAAACTTGGGGATACGCAGGACAAATCAGACTCCTGAAAGGGGCACAGTAGTCTGGAAAGGTTGAGAGTCATTGCTGTAAAGCAAAGAACGCGGCTGTTCATTGTTATATTTCAGGCCACCTCTAGTCCAGAGCTTGGGGGAGGAGGGTTTGGGGGCAGCAAGATTCTCAAAACATGCATAAAACAGCACGACAGGGTGACATGGTCCCCTGAGGGAATGGAAGGAACCAAAGAGAGAAATTAATCTTGTGGACTGAGCCAGATGCTGAAGGTTCAGGTTTCATTTGGCTGGGTAAGAATAAAGAGCAGGAGGGCTCCATCTCGCACCCGTTGGAGCCTGCATTGGAGGAATTCCAGCTAAGGAGCTTCCATAGATTTGCTGGGTCAGTCTCTGTGAACCCAGTGAGAACCACCTCAGTTTCACATACTAATGAGTGACCCTCATCCTGGGACACTGAAGGTGCATTAGGTAGCAGAGGCATAGACGCCAACTCCGTGGGTGCTCCAGGGCTTAAGCACTCATGGAAAAAAAATAGGGGGTGCTCAGCACCCACTGGCCACAGCTGTTGGGTGGGCCGGGGTTGGTTGCTGATCAGCTGTTTAAATTAAATTAAATTAATGGAGATATCCTATCTCCTAGAACTGGAAGGGACCTTGAAAAGTCATCGAGTCCAGCCCCCTGCCTTCACTAGCAGGACCAAGTACTGATTTTGCCCCAGATCCCTAAGTGGCTCCCTCAAGGATTGAACTCAGAACCCTGAGTTTAGCAGGCCAACGCTCAAACCACTGAGCTATCCCTGGCGGGCCTCAGGGGAGGGTGGAGAGGAGCCAGCAGCGGGCGGGCAGGGGGCCTTGGGGAAGAGGACTGAGAGGAGCAAGCAAAGGGCAGGTTGGGGAGTTGTGGGAAGAGGCAGAGTGAGGGCGGAGCCTTGTGGGGATGGGGCCTTGGGCAGAGCACTCACCGGGAAAAATAGAAGTCAGCACCTATGAGCAGAGGGAATGGCCAGAGGCCTGAATGATGCATGGGGAGATGTTAGACATAGGAGTGAGTGAGCCATTGAGCAGGACATGGGAGCAGTAGGGACAAGATTCTAACTTGGGGATTATAAGCCTTACTGAAAGTACACAGGAAACTAGAACAGTCTGGGGCAGGTGGGATTGTGGCTGGGGAACAGGTCCTGAGTGGGGATTGTGGTTGTTTCAGGGGGCGGTGACCTTCGAGGAGGTGGCTGTGTATTTCACGGAGGAGGAGTGGGCTGTGCTGGACCCCAGTCAGAGAGCCCTCTACGGGGACGTCATGCAGGAGAATTACAAGAGCGTGACCTCGCTGGGTAAGGGATTCCTTGTTCCCTTGGGTATTAGAAGCTTTCTCTCCACAAATATCACGTTCAGTGCTTAACCCCTCAGAGTAACACTTCACTATTAATTTCTCTCGCTCTTCGACTTTCCTCCTGCTCTTTTCGGGTGGAAAAGGACAGGCAGGAGAAAGTAGAACGCTGGCAGAAGGTGGCACTTCCACACAATTTCTAAACTAAAGATTTATTTTTTAATTTCTGTTCTTCTCAAAAAAGAATTACCATTACAAAATATTTTCTAAAAATGGAATTGAAAGCTAAACTGTTTTGCAAATGAAATAATTTTCAACCAAATCTCATTTTCTGAAGAGAAGTCTTTTGTGTTGAAAGTTTCATTCCCCGCTACAGCCCGGAATCCGGCCTAAGTGGTATTGATATTAGTGCTGTGCCTGGGTCACCTGGCGTGTGCAGATCCTAGCATCTTCTCCAGGGGGCAAAGCATGTCCGACTCTTCTGAAGGGTCTCCCATGTCCATCTGCCAATGCAACGCCCCACAGCGTAGGGGAGGGGCCGGGTTATGTCATGGAACTTTCTTTGTAACAAACATTCCACAGACCATTCATTCACCCCCATCCCACCATGTTCTTCCCCCCTCAGCAGGATTTCTCATTCACAAACCTGATGTGATCTCCTGGCTGGAGCGAGGGGAAGAGCCATGGGTCTCAGATCCCCAGGGCTCCGAGGAAAGGGGGAGCCTGAGCGGTGCCTGCATAGGTGAGGAATTGATTAAACTAACACAGCCCACCAGACAATGAAAGGAATAGCTGGGAGTCCTCCAAATGCCTCGTGTGCTCCCCCCAGTTCTACCTCATCCCACACAGGTCACAATTGTCCCCAGTGGGAGTCAGACCCTCATGGCAGATATCACCCCAGGCTTCCAACCAACCCTGACGTTAGCTCCCACCCCACTGTCCTCCCTTGCCCTTGAGCGTTCAGACGGGTGTGAAGGCAGGATGGGACTTCTCGTCTCTGTCCTCTGGGGAAGGGATTGTGGGGATTTGGTTTCACAAGCTCATTGATGGCTTCATTCCACAAAATGTGCTTTGCTGACCCATAACGCCCTTGAACTGCTGCATTGGGTGATACCCCCAACTCCTTCCCATCCCTTCCTGCGCTGAATCCCACTGGTCCCAGCGTCCCTGTGACTATCACCGGGCCCCTCTCCGTCAGTAAGAAGTGGATCCAAGGTGGACTTTCCACTTTCTAGGACACGAAGTTGGTTTCCATACACTACAGGAACCGCTTTGCTGATGAGTGCCTGGCTCTGTGTTTCCAGCAGAGAGGTTTCCACCTGTAGCAGAATGTGCAGAGATTTTGAGCAGCTGGGGAGCTGGCCCTGGGATTTTACTGCTTTAAAATGAACTGGGGTTAAAAATCATGGAACACTCTTTGTAAGAAATATTCCACGACTTTCCCTCATCTCACTCAGTTTCTTTCCCTTGCGCAGGATTTCCGGTTTCCAAGCCTGATATGATTTCCCCATTGAAAGGGGAGGGCGAGCCATGGGTCCCCAATCTGCATGGCTCTGAGGAGAAGGAGAGCCCGCAGGGCGCCTGTGCAGGTGAGGAACCCGCTCTACTGACACATACCATCGGCAAGGAAAGGAAACAGCTGGCCTGCTGAGTGCCCCCCACCCTAGTTCAACCTCCTCCCTCCCAGAGCAGGGTTATCCTCAGCTGTCACGGCAACCGTCAGACTGGCTTCCCACCCATTCCTGACTGACACCTGGCAGTAGCTTCCTTCGCCCGAGTGCCGACACATAGGCGCTGAACTCCATGGGTGCTCAGCACCCACCGGTGGGCCCTGCTGATCAGCTCCTTCCCCTCCCCCCTCCCCCCCAGCACCTTCTGCCCACCACGGATCAGCTGTTCAGGGCGGGCAGGAGGCACTGGGAGGGAGGAGCGAGCTCAGGGAAGGGGTGGGGCCTGGGATGGAGCACCCCCCTCCGCCGCCAATTAGAAAGACAGTGCCTCTGTGCTCACCCCTTCCTGGCTTCCTTTGCCCTTTAGTCTTCAGATGGGGTGGAGGCAGAACTGGTCCCCTCCTCTCTGTCCTCTGGGGAAGAGTTTGGGCAGGATCTTCATTCTTTTTTCCATGTCCCCAGCTGTTACTGTAGTTTGTTTTCCCCCCTACACACACTCTTCTCTGAGGTTTCCTGTCTGGATTCTCTCTCTCTGTCCCAGCAGGGGAGGGTCCAGCCCATGAAAATGCTCAGCACCAGGGTCCCACACAAGTGGAGCTGCACAGGACGCTGTCCGTGAAATCCGAAGGGAACGTGTCCTGGATGCCGACGCAGGGGGAGCCACACCTTATGTCATCAATAAAATGCGAAGGGAGTCATGAGCAGGAGGACGTCTGTGCAAGCTGGGGCGGGTTGGAAGGGCAGGAGGGAGCCCAGCCCACTTCCCCCGGGGGAGGCAGCGTGGGCCACAAATACATCCAGGTCCTGCTGAGCCTCCAGCCGGAGCAGCAGCAGCAGCGGCCGTGTCCCGAGTGCGGGAAGATCTTTGTTGACCACGCTCACCTCCTGCGTCACCAGCGGCTGCACGCTCTGGAGAAACCCTTCCCCTGCCCCGACTGCTGGCGAGGCTTCCTGCGGCGCTGCGACCTGTCCGTCCACCGGCGCTCCCACACCGGGGAGATCCCCTTCCCCTGCCCTGACTGTGGGGAGGGGTTTCTGCGTCGCTGCGACTTGGCCGCCCACCGCAAGAGCCACATGGGGGAGTGGCCCCACCAGTGCCCCAAGTGCGGGCGGCGCTTCCGCAAGCGCTCCGTCCTGGTCAACCACCAGCGCACCCACCTGCAGGACGATCGCTACAAGTGCCCAGAGTGCGGCCAGGGCTTCAAGTGGCCGGGCCAGCTGGAAATGCACCGGTATAGCCACATGGAGGAGAAGCGGCACACCTGCTTCAAGTGTGGGGAAAGCTTCAGCCAGCGCTCCCACCTCCTGGCCCACCAGGGCAGCCACCTCGGAGATGCCCCTTACCACTGTGCCGACTGCGGGAAGGGCTTTGCCCAGCACCCAGACCTCATCCTCCACCGGCGGAGTCACACCGGTGACCGGCCCTTCCACTGCCCCCAGTGCGGCATCGGCTTCGGCCGCAGCTCGGACCTCAGGAACCACCAGAGCGTCCACGCGGGCCAGCAGCCCTACAAGTGCCCCCTGTGCGGGAAAGGCTTCCAGGAGAGGGCGCACCTGGCTGCCCATCAGAAAAGCCACGGCGGGGAGGATTTCTACCTTGGCCTTGCCGCAGTTTGGACGGGGTGAGCGCCAGCCGGCATCTGGCTCACCAGTCAGGAGCCAGCAGCAGCCAGTCCTGACCTAGCAACTTCCAGGAGAAGCCTTGATTGGCACAGCCGCCCGCTGAGCTGCCACTAGGGAGGGGATTATCAGCGAGCCGCCTTGTGCCCGGAAGGCCATTGCTGTTTGTATTAGAGTACCATCTACGCCCCAGCGTGCATCGAATAAAATTCCTGCCAGAAAGTGTGTACCAGCAGTACCCATGCTACTAGATTGGTATGGTTTAACTTTGCCACGCTAACCGTTCAGCGTGTCAGCAGTTATGGTGGGAGGTGGCCTCAGCTCGAGAGGCTTGATTTATTTTTGAGAGTTTCAACTCCAAGGGCTCTCTCATTTTTGAGCCAGGTAAAAGTTTCACCGAGATAATACCTGCATGCTGTGGAGCAGGGACTTGAAATTTGGTGGGGGTGGGTCACCCTCATGTCTGGACCCAGCTTTTTGCCACCCCTATAAAAAAAAAATCCACCCGAATCTGCCACAGCTACAAGCTGCCAAACAGCTCGCACATGCTCAGTAGAAGTGCCTTGAAGAGTTTTGCAACTAAATGCTGGCAAGATTCTGTCTGCACTGAGCATGTGCCAGCCTCACAGCTCTTACAGGCTAACTAAATCTCCCCCTAAGGGCACATGCTCAGAGCAGGATGGTCCGTGTCTGCTCCCTGCAGGAGGAGTGCCCAGCTAAGTTCCCCCTAAGCTGCATGGCCACACAGCAACCTCTTAAGTGCCGCGGAGTGGAGAGATGCTTCTCCCCCAGCCCGGGCCTGCTGCAGCCAGGGGAGAGGTGCCTCTCCCCCCCAGCCCAGGTGCTACTGCAGGGAGAGAAAGCTGGGGAGAGTTCTCTCTCCCCGCTGTAGCCCTGGGGCAGCCTGCACCCCAAACCCTCATCTCCCCGCACTCCAGCCCTGAGCCCCCTCCCACACTCTGAACTCCTTGGCCCCACCCTGCTGCACATAAATTCATTCCGCACATGCGTGGGAAAAATTAGAAGGAACGCTGGTGCCCACTAACTATTATATGACACCCACAGGAACTCTCTTGCTCCCCACTCAGTCATGCGGCTCAGTTTATGCCCCGACAGTCTTGAGAAGAGGAAGCTAGATGCTCCCTTTGCTGCAGCCTTGTCTGCCCCCTGTGGCCGCTGCCCCTGCTAGTGGTCACACCAGTGCCAGCACTTGCCCGTGCACCTTCTGTTTGAGTCTCAGGTGGGCACAAGCAATGCCACATTACGCCGAACCTCATCGGTACTAGAAGTGTGCAGCTACGTCCCATCGCAGACAAGGCCTCAGCCAGGCGTGGAAACTTACTCCGCTTACCTGGCATTGGGACGGGCCGCAGGAGGAGCCATCATGTTATGCACTCAAAAAGGCACCAGCCGGGGAAAGCTGGGCTCTAGCCCCCTCAGTGCCCTTAAACCAGTCACGAAAGCAGCTCAGGCCAGGTTACACCGGGCAGAGCTGCAGTCCCTCCAAGGGGACGTAGCAGTGCTCAGCCCAAGCACTGCGAATATCCATTAGTGCCGCCATGAACCACCTACACGGATTAGCCGTCACTCAGCCCACCCCTGCTGTCCTCACCTGCTGCAGTGGATGAGGGAGGCTCCTGTTTGGGGCAGCTCTGTTGCCTGCATAAAGCTGTATTGCAGGCAGGCAGCAGCGAAATATTAACACCACAGGAGCTTTTTCTATTTGCACAGTGAATTTTATTTTCCTACGAAACAGAGCGACGGTTCAGAGACGCAGAGCACTGACGGGGTTACAGAGGCTAGCATGAATGCTAGGCTGGAGTTAGATACAAGCAGATGGAAAACCCCTCTGGTTAACTTTACCCTGTTGAATCTGTGTTAAACCAGGGCAACTCCTGAAATCAATGGGGTTTAGGGCTGGAATCAAATCTGGACTGACTCCTGGAGTCTGCTCTCAATTGACACTGGAGTCACTCCAGACTGCTGTAACTTGCAGTTGTGCTAGTGTAACTCATCCAACCCCACTGGGCTCAATGGGAACCCTCTGGGTTCAACTGCCCTTGCTTATCTCACATGCAACTCCAGAACGAGGCCTCAGACAAGCTGGCTCCATTCAGTAGTGGATCAGCAGGTAATCACAGCCCCGGCCCTTAGGTGGGCTACAGCTCATGCCCGACAAGCCTGAGCCAAACCGAGGGCCCTGGGCTTCCGGCAGCCTCAATATGGCCCCAAAACACCAACATCAAGGGCAACCCTGTAACGCTCACTAGGTATTTGACAACATAGGGAAAGCAACAGAAGGGGAATCAGGTTTGACTCTGTTACGTGCTAGTGGCCAGGAGAAGGGGTAACGTGTTATGAGATAAAGCGTCCTATTGCTAAGGCTGGGGAGGAAAGGGAGAGGGAATTGGAGCAGTTACATTTGCAAAAGGTGACCTGCAAAGTGCAAAAAAAAAAAAGGCCCAGCTGATTATGCCTTCTACCCCCATGCAGCTTGATTTACCACTGAGACATCAGGAGAATCGAGTCTGGTCTCCTCTGGCAGACTCACTGGAGGTCTCAGAGATGTGGATCAGGTGAATCATTAACAAAGAGAGCTTTTCTCCCAAGTGTGTGTGGGGCAACTGAGTTCATGGGGTGTTTAAAAAAAAAAAAATTAACCTGCCTGAATAAAATAATTCACTTCATAAGCAGGCTCTTTGGTATAGCTGCCAGGTCTCCAGTGGGCTATAGTCTTCCAGGACAGACTGGTGGGGGGTGTCGTTCTAAGTGATTTTTTTAGGTGGTTTTTGGAGCACAAGTCTCACTGAAAGGCAATACAACTTGTGCTCCTCAGCATCTAAGCTGAGATTCCCAGCAGGCCATAGCGTTTTCCAGGGTAGACAAGCTCTGAATTTCTAGTGTAATGAGAAGAGAAAAGTTTGGGGGGAAAAGTTCATTTCAACCTTTCAGGCTCGTTCTATACTTCAGAAAGCAGCAACAACAACAAAAACCAACAACGAAGAACAGAGGGGCAGGACCCCCACCCTTTGCAGGTCCCCTTAAAGAGCAAACTGGGCCAGGCGCATCAGTTGCAAAGTGTGAGGGAGGAGCCCACGTAGAAAAGCCAGAAGAAAGGGAAGATTTTCTCCGAGAAGGCGGCCGTGAAGGTGAAGATGGGGGCCATGTTATCAGCATTGTAGAACGCCACCCACCCCCCTTCGTAGTCCAGGTAGACCCCGATCTTCCTGGGCCTCTCACAGAGGGACAGGGGAGTCTCAGGGGAGGTGAAAGCCTGGTATTGGTCCCAGTTCTTGCCCTTCCAATTCAGCCCCACCGCCCAGATCCCCTCCTCGGGCGTGAAGTCGATCTTCTCCTTCCTCCTCACCGACTCCCTGGCAGCCCCCACGGCCCAGCTGTCCCCGTCCCCCACTTCCACCTCCCAGTAGTGCCTCCCTGAGGTAAAGCCCTCGGCCCCCAGGACAGAGAAGGAGTAATCGAATCTCTTGGGGCTGGCCGGCACATCCTGCGGGGCGCTCCTCAGCCTCACGCTGCGCTTATCCTCGGACAGCACCAGGTAGGGGTTTGCAGTGTCCAGGTCTAGAGATATATCAGCTAGAGAGAGGGAGACAGGGATTTAACAGCAGAGTTCATCCCTGGGGACAGCCCCTTATGCCACCAGATCTTCCCTCTTTTAAGCTGTGGCACTACCTGTGCTGATGGGCAATGGCCTGAGAGGTGTAGGAAGCTTCAGGGAAAAGGGGAGGTCTCTGGGCCCAGAGACACTGCATGCTCTTACAGCTTCCAAACTGCGTTTGCCTTCGAGAAAACAGGAATTCAGGAGAGCGCACTAGAAGGCAGGGGGGTCTGCTGAGGAAACGCCCGTCTTCGCAGCCATCAGCATTTTGTTTCCTTATCCAAAACGGAAACAAAACGCTGAGGGGGAGATTTGGGCTGAATTCCCTTCAGCCATCACACCAGGGGGCGAGTCGCCAGGCCTACGCCTGCACGGTTACTGCCACAGCAGCAGGGTTAACGTCAGTTCCTGGGACACTGGAAGAAGTCAGCGGAGGGAGGCGGAGGCTTACCTGTGTCGTTCTCCAGCTCAAAGCGCAGATTTTCTAGGGGAATGAAAGGAGAAAGAATTGAGCCCTGGCTTTCCTGGGGATGAGTACCTAGAGCAGGTTGAAAAAGTGAAACAAAATCCACAAAAGTTTTCCTTCTGCCACTGAACCAGGTGTAGGAAATGGGAAACAAGTTCTTCCATTACACTGGAAGATGAAGGAGTATCCATTTTAGTACAAAGGCCATTGTTTGAAGAGTTTCAACCAACGCTTAATATCCCGTGTCTAAGGCAGTGGTTCTCAACCGGTTTATCATTGTGGGCCGCATATGTGGCTCTCTATGGCCTGGTCTCCATGAGCAAGGTAAGTCGAGCTATGTTACGCAAGTTACGTAACTTAAGTCAACGTAGCTTAGATCGACTTACAGCACTGTGTTAGGTCAACAGAAGACGCTCTCCCGTCAACGTAGCTTCCGCCTCTTGGGGAGGTGGAGTACTGAAGTTGACGGGAGAGCGCTCGGCCATCGACTTATTGCATCTCCACCAGATCCACTAAATCAATGCTGCTGCATCAATCACAGTGACACCGATTTAAGACAAGCCCTATGTATTATGTGGGCTGCATCCACATAATATATATACTACCTGTATGGCCGAGGCTGTCCCATGGGCCACAACTGTGTGCCAATTGGGCCATAAGCCACCCATGGGCCGTGGGTTGATAACCACTGGTCTAAGGCTTCATTATAGACACCACTCAGA